TAACCTCCACGTGGTGCACCCTGGGCAACGTATACTCATACGGCAAAAAAGTCTATTAACCGGCAGTTGACTTCTCACTTCAAACTACCATGACCCTACTCTCTACATCATATTCGACCACTTCCACAGTACCTACCTTTTTCTCCACCATTGTATCGTTTCTCTCTTACATCTGTGAATCACTCTTCTGTCCCCCCTCTTCACTTTGATGTCCCACCTCTCAGTGAAGCCCGAAGTCAGCCAAAGGGCTGCCATTTGATATAAATAATTCTTCCATTGGTCTTAAGCATTAGACCGTGAGATTTAATAATAATTAAAATGAGATAAAAGAAGCACCCGATTAGAGTTCTGAACATCTTGCCGCTTTATATAAAATAATTGCTTGATTCCCAACCATTAGATCAGTTGTTTATTTTAGAATAGGGAGTCTGGAAATGATTCGTACCAGCGCAGTGAGGTTGTCTGCCTTTCCGTTGCTGCAGGCAATAAAAATGTCTTAATGCAGAGTCAGTGACGTGAATTGTGCGTTCGCGCATATTGAAGGGGTTCAAAGAGAACTCTCCGTCAAGGTAAGAAATCAACACTACTTGAACAATAATCACCCAAATGACTTCAAATACCATAAAGCAAAGTGCAATTTAATTAGTGCATCAATTTGATGGAGCAAAAAAGATGAATTTATGCGTGATGTTGTAACCTCTTTAAGCTCTAATTATTATTATTATAATATTATAATATTTCACTCATTATACAAGAAGAGAGAGAAGTAAGTAGCAGAGCATTTCTTCTTTTCAGGTAAAAAAAGCTTCACTGAAAGCCTTGAAATGCAATTAGCATTTCTTCGTGTGTCACGTTTTTAGGATAATTGAAACGGTTCAATTTGGTTCAGTAATTTTAAGACAGATGAGGATGTTTCAGCCAGTTTTCCAGCAGCCAAATGATTAAATTCACATTTGGTATCTCACTGATACAAGTAAACGCTAGGGGAAGCCTCAAATCCCCAGCGGGCATCAATCACAAAGTTAAAAACAAAAAACCCCAGTAGAGCAATACGCTTGTTCACTTGTTTGTTTTTTACCCCAAAAGTTCGATGAACAAAGACTGTGTGTGTGGGCGTGTGTATGTCACGCCTCAAGACCTGGAGGAGGTGAGAATGGCTATGTCTTCATATAATCATTGATAAATTTGTTGAATTTAAAAATTCGATGTCATTTCAATTCAAGGGCTGTCGATGTCCCATTTTAGCGAATGTCTGCAGGAGTGGAATATTACTGCCAACAGGGAAGAGAACTCAAGAACATTGGAACCATTGGATCGGATTCTTCAGCCCTCTCTAAAAGCTTTCAATACAAAAATTGTGAATATTCTTTTCAGAAATGCTTTGGGGGGTAACAGAGGGTTGTTATAAATAATTATTTTCTTGTTAAACTCGTTCTCACAATGCTGGAATGACTAAGATATCGTACATATATATAATATAAATAATTTTCTAGAAAATGAAAATTTGTCGTTTGATAAAGAATTCATCTCCCAGATTTTAGTGAGGCAATTTTTGAAGCAATTCAATAATTAGTTGCTTATTACTCCATTGCTTTCCTTATAAGGCACGTGATTCAATTTTAAAATTAAAAAATGAATTTTTCATATAATCAATTATTGTCTATTTGTAACCAGGCCAAAGAAGTATAAATTATATTTCAGATGATTGTAAAACCACTCAGCCAATAGAATTTAAAGGAATATGACATTCGTTTCAATTTACACGAGCGTGACTGCATATAATAAGAAAAGGTTTGGACAAACCATTGAAGTAAATATTTTAAGTAGAAAGGAAAATATCTTCATCTGATTATTAATTATATATTTTTTAGTTTCGTGTGGCCTTGCTTGAAAACATTTAATTTGGATAGATGGAATCACATAAAATATTTTTTCAAACCGTTAATAAGAGTTCCAGAATAAAACCGATTTCTAAAAAAGAAAACGCGCTGAATGAATACCTCGCAGTGGGCCATAACATCGTTAAATAAATATTAAATTCAAATTATAACTTCAAGTTAAGTATGACTTCTAAAGGCACTGCTGTGGAAGAAATCCAAGTTGAAAAATGGGCTCTTAGGATTTTACAGAAACGTGGCAACAATTAATGCGACTAATAAATGAGATCAAATCAATTAACAAGTAAATAAATTTGAAGAAGTGGAAATATGAGTAAGAGAGAGAGGAATAATATAAGTGCAATTAATTAAAATTCTCGTTATAGATAAAATAGCAACACTTTGGAATGTTATAAGAAAAGAATTATCTCATTGGACAACCTTACTGAAGCTTTAATTATAGAGACGTGTTTATCAATGATGAAATTTAATTTGTTTAATCAAGTCAAAATAGACAATGCTATTTCAAATTGTTACAACTATTAACTAACAGCCCGGTTTTCTGAAATAATATTTATTTTTTCTTTCTAAAACCTAATTCCTTTCATACCGACGTTGTTCACTTCTTTTAACTATGGAGCCACAAAATACACCGAGATGAAATATTTACTGTAAAATTCAACTTTTACCAAAACAAATTAACGCCTTTTTTAAAAGATTTTATTTGAAATTATTTAGAGCATAAAGCCCTTATGAAGCTACCTTGAATTGACATCAAGCTCTATATATCTTTCTTTAAAAAGTATTTTATGTACAACTCAGAAACACTTTTGGAAAATCATGTGGCGATATATTGCTAGCCAATCAAAGTAATGTTGCCCAGAGTAAAAGCAGGTGGTTGAACCTTAACCAATCAGATTTGAGAGCAAATGCAAACTGCAGGTGCTCAGACGCTTTCATTCATCTGAGCACTTCTCTTAACTTCCCCTGTGAAATGCCTTAAAAGCATTTCCAGAATAGATTGAAAAAGGCTAAAATTAGACCATAGTTACTCTTGAGGTATTCAGCAAATATTGGCATTTTTGACTGTATCTAATGGAATGAATAGACAGAAAAATACAACAACAAATTCTTGAATAAAAGTAATGAATTTGTAACAAAATTTGAAATTTGGTGTTTTTTGACTACAGTTTCGACAGCTAAAAAGTAAACAACTTAGATAAACGAATTAAATTTATTTCATTAAATAATTTTTAAATATGGCCAAGGTCGATTGCAATGCGAATAGGTTTACAGCATTTTTATTATTAGAAACAGAAACGGCAAACCGGTCTAATAAGAGACGAAAAACTTAAATATGTTTTACTTACGGTATTACGTAATTATTAAAATTCACAAAATAATAAGTCTTTTGGCTGGCGAAATTAGGGTAAATTAAGGGTTTTGCTAACTCCCCTGTATAAAATTCATTTTTCAAATTTATATCTATTCAGAAAAGATAAGATTATAACAATTAGAAGCAAATAGTCTAGACTTGAATGTTCATTTCTCATCGTAACATTTCGTGATATAATGCCCTATTGAACCAAGCTTTCAATTGTGCTTCTCCAAAATTAGTTTTTGATCGGCTTATTTCATCGACTACTTAAAAACTTAAATTTGAACAAATTGAATGCTCTGAGGGATAAAATCAGGTGGCAGGAAGTGAGGATGTTTTGGCATTGCAGAACTGACACGAGTTAGTTCTATTTAAGAGAAATTAATATTAAGTAGAAAATAAGATTTAAAAAAATTAAATTCGAACGTTGGCTTTGAAACAGCCCTTTTGTTGGAAACATAATTTACTATAGTCTTTGAGGACAGGGCAGCAAGGTCAAATCCACCTTAAAACGAGAGCAGATCATTCAAACAAACGTCCGAACAAAAGTTAATTGAGAGAATTTCTTAGCTGAAACAAATGTTGTAGCCAACCAGAACATATAATCTAAAAGCTATCTAACCAATGAGGAAACAATGAGTGTTAAGGCAGTAGGCTTAACTTTGAGTTTGTGAAATTAAGATTCTGGTCATACACTTTATACCTCAATTCTAGCATTTAGCAGAGCTAATCTTAATGACGTGAGTTGTTTAAATCCCTCGCAATGAGGCAAAAGTATGCCCCCCCCCTTTAAAATTTTGGAATTCCATCAAACGTGAAAAAAGGAAACAAAATTTGATTAAAAACATAGCTTGAAACTCATGGTGCATAGTTTTGACAAAAAGTAAATAACGCTGTGACCAAGAAATTCTAAGTAAATCAGACCCGTGAAACCAAAATCAATACCACGATCTCACTGAATTGGCACAGTCCAATTTGCTAGTTGAGTCTATTTGAAGTGGATTTCCATAGATTGCGTCATGATTAAAGTAACTCGGCTTGTCTGGTCAGTCTTTCTATGGTTATCAGAAGACGTTAATAAAGCAGGATTTCTTGATCAACCAACCAATCAAAAATTAATGACATAACGAGCTCCAACCGGTTAGGGTAAGACTTAGTCTGAAACTCCCGGGATCATATCGCGAGATCTGAGCATTAGAATATTTTACCACTGAGAAAGTGACAAATCCCGTTTACTCTAGAAATCAAATAAAGTAGACCCCACGATTTATTGTTTAATTTTATAAACCTAATTCATTTTTCGTATCATCAGATAGTAACCCAATATTAAAAATTGTAAAAGTTACAACTATCACCATGGATAAAAATAATTATCGCTGTAAAAACATGAAAATTGCAATAATAATATTGAAATGATTAACATTTGGTACATTGAAGTAAGTTCAAGCTCTGGTGCGTAGGTTTAGCTTCAATTAACTCTCCTAGTAAAATGCAATTTCTCATTTTTTTTCTTCTTTTAAATGAGGTTTAATATTTTTCTGTCCCATAATAAAAATTCCATTTTTTTATTTAAATCAAACTAACAAACCCTAGAAAGCCTCCTATTTCACTTTTTTTGTATTTTATCTATTAATACAACTAATAAAATTAATAATAATAATAATTATTATTATTATTAAATTTATCCTTGAAAAGGTATTTGGAATCTAAATTGAGATGCAATTTGGTCACAGAATATGAGTAATTTATTGGAATTTTGCAGATTTCGCTCGTCGTTGCAATATCAAATAAGGAGCACTTACGAAAGAGGCAGTTCTACGACCACCCATGAGACAACCCTCCTGAATGCTTCGATGTTTGCGTCCACGTGTTCGTTTGCTCACCACAATGGCAAAGGTCAGCATCATGACTGCCAAATAGACGACAACGGCGCTTATCACCAACTCGGCAATTTCCACATACCATATCCTAAAAATTGAAAGGAGCATTCTTTTTAGGTGTCAACTTGAGTCGAATTTAATAGGCCATAATTATTTCTTAAATACTAATAAAATTTAATCTAATTTGGATCCTAGCAGTGATGTGATTTACACAGGAACTTAGAAAATTACTAAGATATGGACCCTTCCTTAAGAATTCGCCTGCGATCCATCCAAGTCTAGGCGACAAGAAGATGACAAGAAATGTTACACCTTTTAGGTTTTAGGAGAAAAGATTTCTTAATCATCCTTAATTACTGGCTGTGTGAAGTGGCGTTTCCGCATCCTCAAGATCATCATGAAAATTTTTCTCCCCCCAACGAATGAAATTAAAGTACGAACACTGGGAGAAGAATTTGAATACTTCAGCACCATTGAATGAAGTTTGAATGCGCACTTTGTCCATAAGAGTTGAAATTTCTGTTAAAGCAAAAAATGCATCTACAATGTGTGTGCGGAAACAGTGAACAAAAAAAATTTGTACGGCTATTTGCACGGACTGGGCTGTTAGTGGAACTCACTAAGAAATGTTTTTCTTTCGAAGGCCACTGTTTCTCCACAATTAAGGTCTTTCCATTTTTACTTTCAGAGGGGCGAAGCCCACCTATGAAGACCATCATGGAGATTGGTTTCCAAAAAAGGAATACCATCAACTTTATAAAAGTTCGACAATCCACATTTGAACAATGTGCTTGCAAATCTGCGCTCCCTGTAAGTATTGCTTCAAGAAATGCAAAATATTTTGTTTTAATCATAATTCTAGAAGCAACTAAAATCGGTTGGTTGAAACCTGCAGAAGGAGTGTTGAAGGTGATGGAATCAAAAAATATAGTGGAAATAAAGACAACGAATCGAAAGATATTTCCTCATGTTGTTCACGGTTCAAGGCTCAGGCAAATACTGGTTGTCGATGTTCAATGCCCATTGGCTGGTAGAATTCAAACGAAAAATTCAACGCCAAGCATTCCAGCATATAAACAAAAATGACTTTGTAAGGATTTTCAATTTATACTTTTAAAAATCTTTATTGTGAATGAAATAGGAGGTGTGTTGCCAAACGAAAGTATTAAAAAATAAAAATAAAATATTAAATAAATGATATAACTTTGGATACACCACCCCCCTTACATTCTTACCGATTTAACTTATTTTAATTTAAATATTTATGAACATAAGATACCTTAAGGTCTACTGTGTACCAGATAACACTCATTTGCCAAAATTATTTTCAAGAACGAAAGAATGTCCAAGAAAGTGAACACTTGTTGTTCCATTTAATCTAAAAGTACATCCACTAATCAGGTTTCGAACAGTTTCTTTGAAAAAAATTAGAACAAGAAAATCTGAATTTGTATCAGCAAGAAAAAAATGAGAGAAGTTGCTTTAAACAAAACCTTTTCATAAGAACGGTCGTTTAACTGTTCTCTCTCTCAAAAAAACGCAATGAATACTAGGCATAAAAAAACAAAAATTGTAATGTATATATTTTAAGGTATATTATTTTAATCTAGGGGTGTTCGATAGACTTACCTCCACGTGGTGCCTCCTGGGCAACGAATGCACATACGGCAAAAAAGTCTATAAATCGGCAGTTGACTTCTGACTTCAAACTACCATCACCCCACTCTATGCCATATTCGACCCCCTCCACAGTACTCATCTTACCCTTTTCTCTGTATTTGTGACTGTCTGTCTCTTTCATATCAGTAAATTACTCTTCTTTTATCCCTCTCGCCACTTTTTTGCCACTTTGATGTTCCTCCTTCCCTCTGTGTGGGCCGAAATCAGCTAAAGAGCTAATGATAATTACCAAAACGTCTACCATTTGAAATAAAGAAATTTTAATCCATTCATTAATCCAGATTAATCGAAATGCCACAAATACACAAATCTAAAGAGAAAGAATGCCACGTAAACCTCTGTCGTTCCGTTTTTAACAAGAATGTCATTTTATCGATAGGGATTGATACAAAATAAGGTAAAAAAAATTGAAAGATAAAGTACCTCAAGAAGTAGCCATGTTTTCAATGTGCTGGTTGGAAGAAGTACTGCGACATCACATTCATTAAGAAAAACAAGGGCCACAAAAACACTTTCTTTCTTTAAGTGTCAAGTTATTACCTAATAACCGTTAATTACTTCATTGTTGAAGTCATTGCCACACTGAACCTCACTAAGGCAAGGCTATTCAAAAAAAAACATCTGAACAGGAAAAATTCAAAACGAATCCATTAATATATTTATAATAATAATGATAATAAAATAGGAATAAAACAGATATTTCCATGTGTTTTTTTCAAAAAATAGATAGCTTAGTGTTTCCGAATTGAAAAATCAAGATTTGCTCTTCTAATTTCTACACAGTTTTTTGTGATCCAAAGTGCTAGGATTTGATTGGATGTTAGATTCTGCTATTTCTTTCATTGTTAATTATTTAATTATTCAAATTCTGGAATGATGACTTTTAGCAGTGATGACTTGGCATTGCATGTCTAAACCTTAATGAGCCTCTTAGATATCCAATTGGCTGCAGACCAGTATGACTAGCCGCTAGCAGACACTTCAAGCATAAACTCGCCCCCCCCCCCTCCCCCAAAGTCCATTTCGCTCCTATCACAATAGCAAGAACACTGGAAGAACACTGTGTGGAAAGATATAAGAGCCAAACGCAAGGTAACTAAGCGCTGCCATTTCCACGTTACACGGACACAGATCGTTAATTGATTTCGACGGCTTCTTCACTCTTCAAAGTGGGCGCCCTGGGCAACGTATACTCATCATATGACAAAAAAGTATTAACCGGCATTTGACTTCTGTCCTCAAACTACCATGACCCCACTGTGGGTCATATTCGACTCCCTCCACAGTACTCATCTTACCTTTTCTCTGCCTTTGTTCCTCTCTCTCTCTCTGTCTTTTACATCTGTAAATCACTTTTCTGTCCCCCCCTCTCCGCATTTTCGCCACTTTGATATTCCTTCTCCTCCTTTCTGTGAAGCCCGAAGTCAGCTAAAGGACTAATGGTAACTATCAAAACGGCTGCCATTTGAAATAAATTTATAATGTTTAAAATCACGGTGACGTATCAAGTAAATTTCCAAATTAGACCATTGAACTTAAGAAAATAATAATAATAAATTGCTTCAAAGTGTTGGAATGGAATAGCAATGTAAGGCATAAAAACATATTCAAAAATTAAATTGATCTCATTAAATTAGGCACGATTGAGTACGTCATTAAGGGAAGCAATGGTACTCAATTGCATCAAACCCCGACCTTCATTGAAACAAAGTCTCCTCTTAGCGTTTGAAATGGAAGGAGGGAAATGGTTCGGAAATGGTACACAACTTCATTCTCATTCTCCAATCAGTGAGTTGCTGATTGATATACTCCAATTCACCAAGGTCATTTGATTTCATTCCGTGAAGGCCTCATTCCTCCTCTTAGACAACATTCACACACACACACACACACACACACACACACACACACACACACACACACATATATATATATATATATATATATAATTTCTTTTGGCAGTAATTTAACTTTTCTCAAAGCGGGGTGTGCGATAGACTTACCTCCACGTGGTGCACCCTGGGTAACGTATACTCATACGGCAAAAAAGTCTATCAAACCGGCAGTTGACTTCTGACTTCAAACTACCACGACCCCCCCTGGTTGTCATATTCGACCCCTTCCACAGTACTCACCTTACCTTTTTCCCTACCTTTGTATCTGTCTGCCTCTTTTGCATCTGTGAATCGCCCTTCTGTTCCCCACCCCTCGACTTTCTGCTACTTTGATGAACCTTCTCTCTGTGAAGCCCGAAGTCAGCTAAATGGTTAATGATAGCTATTAAAACGCCTGCCATTTGAAATAAATAAATTTTACTTTTCTCAAGGCGATTAGTTGAAACAATGCTAAATTAGCTAAATGGATCAAGCGTGGATGCAATTTTCATTGGATTTTAAATCATCTGGAAAATTGGAAATAGATCAAAGTGAAAGCGAATGAGGTTTATTTCAAGGAATATCTTAAAAAGGTACAAAGTAGAGAAATGACAGTCTAACTTTGACAGAGACAAGAAATGACGAATTCCCGGCAAAATAACCATTCACACCACGCTGTACAAAAAATTATTTTAACGTGCACTTTCATTAAATGCAAAGTGCCGCAAAAAAAGAACATAAGAAATTTTTGTTCAGCAGAAATTAAAAAGTTTTTCCTAATTTAAGATGTATGACTTCAATTTGAAACTTATTCATTTAGCACTTATTCTTAAATAATGATTAATTTTTTCCCGTACTGCTCCTCTGCTTGTGACGTTCAGTCCGGAAGACACGTCAAGTCGCTCAAGTAACCACACACATTGTCTTTTGACAACTGGAGAGATGACACTCTGACACACACACACACACACACACACACAACGAATGGTAGATTTTCTACCTCACCTGAGGTAACAAGAACCCACATTAGGCTGGCTGCTCCTGATTCTCAGTGGCTAGGAAATGGCACAGAACTGATGGCATTTGTTTCGTCATCGCAACTCCCATCCACTAATCACTAGTGCCAGGTAATCATTCGTATTTTGATTTTCTCTTTCGTTTTTTTTGTGTGTCAATTAGTTTCAAATAAAATGCCAATCAGTTGCTTGAGATCAAATTCGAAAAATAAAATCAACTCGTTTTCTTTGATAAAGCAGAGGCCCTACCCCCCACTTATCAGTTGATGAACAGAAATGCTGATGTTCATTCAGGACCTCTTCTGCGTTGTGTTGCATTTGTTTTTCTATATTGTGAAATCAAACTCGACTGTTTGAGTAAATTGTATGCCATGGCTCGATGTGTTCGTATTGGCCCAAAACAGAAGAACTTTCTTCTCATTGTTAAAAGCCATTCCTTATGTCGACATGAAAATTCTATAAGACGGGGGAAATCGATCTTCGAGGATTTCAAGTAAAATTGTTGCCAACGCGAAGGAAAATCGTGGACTCTCCTCAAGCCTTGAACGAAAGCTGTCAATCATTTCTAACTATATATTTGCAAAACTATTCGCACTTCCAATAGGATTAGTACTCTTCAGGAGACCCAATCACCACTGGCATCTAGATTCCAAATTCGATGTTTTAAGTGTTACGGAGGATATAGGCAGTCATTATCAACGT